ACTTCCAAGAGTAAGTCATCTGCAAATGCAGTTTTTAAGCAACCGTTGAGATGACTTGAAAGATATAATAAGTTACACACACAGAGTTTGGACACAGAGTCGTAAGGAAACCCTTTTTTCAGAGAATAAACCTTACCTTTGGACACAGGTCTTCGTGTTTAAGAAGCTTTTAAGCAGATTATAGATATTATGTGGTTTAATAGCATCTTTTAAAATTTTTAAGATAGATGGCCATCAAGCATTATCGAAAGCAGCTTAAAAATCCAGAAAAATAAGAACTGTTGCAAACTTTATTTGCTTTCCATACTGCAAGATACTATTAAGGCAAATAAGGTCATCTTCAGCAGACTTCCGAGGAGTAAACCCAAACTGAGAATCATTGTAAAAACATTTCTGATTCAAATACCAGTTTATTATATTAATGAAGAGACTTTCAAGGCATTTTCCCCGAGTAGGTAATAGGCTAATGCATCTAATATTATCAATATAAGAAGTTCATGTATCTAAAGTTTAAGGGATTAAAACAACCTGAGCTGTCTTCCATCGTGCTAGAAAAACTCCTGATGAGAAACAAAGATTGAAATGTCTTGGGTTTTGGGGTGTCTCAATCGCAAAATCCTGGGTGTGGAGAATCCTCTTCCAGCACCCTTTTAGTTCGGACGCCACTGTAGAGACATTAGGTATTTTTTTAAAGCAGGCAGGATGAAAAATTAGCAACGCATCGAACCACGGACCTCTGGTACACCGGCCCAGCGTGCAGAATCACTACATCACGAAGACACGCTAGGAAAGCGGGAGAAATACCTTATAAGGTCAATATAACTCCAGCCATGCGTGGAATTGAAAGTAGATCCGCAATATTCATAAATTAGAAACAAAATGATTTGCACTAATAAAATCGCCAAGCCTCGTTCTTCTAGCATCAGTAATAGGACTATGACAAATCGCTGATTTGCTATTCGAATCCATACCACATAAAAAATTGCAGGGTTTCTTAATCGTAAAAATTCGTGAAATTTTTAATAATTCTATATGAATGTTAGTTTTGGCTCAAAATATGCAGAACAAATAGTCAAGTCAGAGAGAGGCATTCATTTTTATATTCAAAACAACAGTATTATATACCGTATGACCAAAGTCCAAAAAAGGAGAAAGATTCTGATTACGAATAACAACAGAAGACTTGACAACTTCTACTTCAGAATCATAGTAATCTTTATATTTAACTAAAAGGCCAGCAAGAGAACCTTTATAAAAGTGAACTCCTGAATCAGTGCTGCATCAATAGCACATTTTGATTTGTGTAAATTAATTTGTACCAAAGAAATAGCTGAACTGACGGACTTACCCATAATAAATTTTTAAAGCTGCAAGATTCATCATAAATGTATGGCTGGGGCAAGTTCTAGAAAATGCCTTATGATTTACATTAACTTTCTTAGCTGCATTTTTCGGGTTTTTTATTGAATCTTATGGAATTAATATACACTTGCACTTCTTTTTATAGTAGCATTCTGAACTCTTATGCTGACATTAGAGCAGCAATACCGAGTTAAGAGATTTCTGCAATCAAGACTTCTGTTACAACCTAAATATTTAAAACACCTACTCAAAACTACAAAATATTCAGCTTTTCACATATTCCACATCACTTTAAGTCGGCCGTAATTTAACTGATAGTACGTCGAAATGATTTAAACACTTTTTTCTACTGTTCTTTCTTTTTAATTTTCCCGTTGTAAAAGAATCCTGTGAGAATCATAAACCCCTTACTACTCAACTTTGTTTGCACTGATGAAACCAGTTCCGTACGCTTTTCGCTTTTTTCTGTTCGTTTTTGATAATAAATACACCTTTCTTTATAGCAGTAATTTAGGTAAACCTATGCTTCAACAAGGGTCACAATCTCCTGCTAAATAATTTTCATACAAGGTTCTACAAATTATTCTATGTTGAGCTTATGCTTCAACAAAAGCTGACGAACATTATAAATTCAGCATTTTGTAGCTGTATATCTTGGCTTAATATTTTATTTATTGTTGTTGTATGTATTTAAAGACTTTGCAATTGATTTCTGCATCGGTGGATTTCTCTTGTTGCTAATGATTTAATTTTAGAAACATTAAAAACAGTACCTACCTTTTCCGGATATTTTTCCGGATTCGTTTGGAGTCTTCTTTCCGTGCAGAGGTAATGGCTAACGGCCTTTCCCTTTCCGATTAATAATGTTGCTTGTGTTACACTATTCTTATATTATTATATTCTTATATTCTATTCCGATTAATAATATAGCTTGTGTTATGTAACAACTGCAAAACCCATGTACTATTTATTACATTTATTAATAAGAAATACTATTAACAGAGGCACCTTTATATTCGTTTTAATATCTAATAATATCTTTCTAATTGGCACACCATTTTATGCATGTATAATTTGAAGTCAGTTTATCATTAATAATGATAATCAACTTTCGGAGATACTTTTACTTGTTGTGTATAGTTACTGTTAAGGAAGAATATATTTGAATATTTTGTAGCGTTTACGCCAAGCAATTCATAGCTAATTACCAGAATTTTGGCGAGGTTAATTCTAGGATTTCGCACTACGATAATGTCCCTATTCATAATGCTCTTGTCCGTTAAATTTTGTCGAAAAATTCAACAAACATGATCTCGAAAGTTCTGTATTAATCATATTGACCTGATGTAGAACCTTGTTACTTTTTCTTACTCCCATAGTTAAAATTTTTATTTCATGATCATCATTTTGATTCTATTGATGAACGAATCTTGAAGCAATTCAGGAAAACAGTTTCGCACTGGGTCATCAGAGTTAAAGGATAATGACAGAAATAGAACGTAACTGATACGTAACGAAAAATTATTAATAGAAATAATTTGTACAGAATTATTAGTTAACATAAATTGCAGTGTTTGGCAGTTGATTATTCCCAAAATATTGAAAATCGGAAAATAATGGAAAAATGAAGTTACCTCTTGTGGAAAATATTTTTCGTATAATCACCTCCGTCAGATATGTATATCTCACATCTTGATTTCATAGACTTTACCAAAGTTTTGATCAAGTCTTGTGGAATCGCATGCCAATATTCTAAAAGTGCATGTTTCAGCTCCTGGAGAGTTTATTAAATTAATTCAATTTAATTCAAATTTAAATAATGAATATATAATAATTTCAAAATTCTTTGGTCATTTTCAAGCGACAACCAAAAGAATTTTCAACAAACACACATTTCTGAATTATACCTGGAATCAGAATCATTTATCATGAATCAGAATTCATTTAATAAATATAAATCAGGAAGAGAAAAAAATTCAAATGAAGTAATTAAATGAATTAATTAAAATAAAGCTAAAGGATTTTAAAAAAACGTCCGTACTAAGTTAAAATTTAAAGCTGAAAAATAAAGCCTTCATTATTTGAATTCATTATTGAAGTCGTAATATACCCCCGTGTGGCTCAAAGTTAATTACACAATTTAATGCAGACCAACAGACGTAATTTCCTTGATCGAGAGGAAAATTAGAAAATTTGTAATAACTAGTAACTTGAAAATCAACATGGCAAATGTACAGCCTACCAAAAAGCGCAAAAGCATAGAAAACGCAGAATTGCTCAATTTATGAATGTTTCGGGGCCAAGTCTAATATTGTTGATTTTCAAATGAACTGACATATTAATATTGATGATGAAATGGGAAAAGGAAATTTTATGCTAAGGTTTTCCGTATCAGTATATTGAGAAATATTAAAAACATAGTGATTACAAGGAAGCTTCGGAAATATGTAAATGCACATTTACTAAGGTACTCAAAAATAATCTCTCCAACAAAAGAAAAATTCCATCGATTGAGGTTTTTAGAGCAGCGTAGGAGTTTGTAAACGGCAGTAGAGATAGGTTTCGTTCCTTTTCTCACCTCCTAAAAAAAAGCTCAGTTTTAACGTTTTTCGATGTAGAACACGGGAAATACGCCTTCGACTGCATTTGATAAGTCCAGATAAAATTCTTGCTTCTAACTCATCTGACATTTAGGAAGGAAATTTTACATTGTCTTCAACTGCTTACATATAGCAGTAACAATCGACAAAGAACTAAAAAAGGGATTTTTCACTATTCTAAACGCTGCATTTTAGTGCCATTTTCATTAAATATAGAGTAATGAAAATAACATTTTCATTCATATTTAATTTTATTTCATTCATATTTAATGAAAATGGCACGCCGTAGATAATAACAAAACTGAAATTTATAGGGAAAACAAAAGACTCTCAGTTCGTTTTTTCTGAAACTTCTCCCTCATATTTCTAAAAGTTGCTAAAAGTTTTAGGCTATACCTCATCAAAATTTTACATTTTTTTATGTTCAGAATCTTGAATTAACATTTCAACAATACCTTTAAAAATCTCTTAAAATCCGTATGCGATAAAAGTACTTAATAGCTATAATTGTAGTAAAAGTATTACAAGTTAATTATAACTTAATGATAGGAATGTAATCCTTTTTTTTTTTAGTTTTTCCCCAGCCCAAAAAGTGTTCTATTTAATTGAATTTAAAGCTTCCATGGGAACGTAAAACTTATTTGTTCTCACTAAATCAAAAATTTAAGGAAAATCAAGTGCCTCTATAAAATGCTTTGCCTTTTGCTAGGATACAAAACGTTTTTCAATTACACTATTGTTGATTAAGAAACAAAGCGAGAAAGTACATGGCCAAGGATTACTGCCATGGCCTTGATTCTTCGATTGACTTTGTGTTTTGCCTGTGCAGACAGATGGTAACATTGCATCATTGTCACCCAAGGCCTAGAGAATATTTTCGGTTTGTTGTATTGCAGGCAGCTAGAATGCATCTTAGATGTCTTAAAATTTAAACAACGAGAATGACGCATCGCAACGCAATGTCTTGTTGGTGGCTCCCTTCTCCCTTCTGTTCTTCGGCAATAGGATTGCGAGGAGGGGGTGGGAAAAGTTTATTTCGGTCTTCCATCCCAAGCGGCGTATTTAGAGAGTGTGATCATCTCTTGGAAAGTTAGTGTTCGACGAGAGACCCGACAGACGACCGAGAAGAACCTCTGCTTCGGCCGAGAAAAACTTCTGATTCTTTTATTGTTCGAGAGCTCGAAACACAAAAGTAAGCAGTTTTGTTTCTTCAGTTAACGCATTGTATGTTCATGTGAAATTGAAACTCTTTTGTTGCATCTCCCAGAATTCCTAATTTCTTAATGTACCAATGCTTCTGACTTCGAAAACGTATGCTCTCAACGTTCATTAGTACGAAAACCTATAATAAATAATAACCAATCAGACCTATAATAACCAATCAGAAATCTTGTTTACCAGATTTTTTATTTAAAAAAAGGAATGTAATATTGGAATATTCAGTGACATAAATATGAACCCATATTTAATCTACAAGAGAGTCATAAGAAATAGTGATTGAATTTCGTTATTACTAATTTTGTTTAACTAAATTTCATTTTTATAAATATTATTTTAAGAAAAAGAAACTTTATTTAGAAGACTAAGTATACCACATAAGTTTTAGTTGTATTAAGACACTATTAATGGTAAATTATTTGTAAAATATATCATATAAGTTAATGATTTACATATTAAAAAGCAACACTTCTGTGAAATGAAATAAAAATTCTGTACCTTTTATCCAAGAGATTCTTAACTTATTTCTGCAGGATAAAACGAGAATTAATGGTGACTTGACAAGCAATGTAATTCTTGCTATGCTTTTAGTTTCCATCTTTTTCAAAATTAGTTTCATTTGATTGTTATAATAAGTATGTTATTCTTTCTTTGAAAATAGAGTTTTCAGAAATTCATCCTTAATTATAATAATAACTTAAAATTCACTAATAATCATTGTGGATGGATCATTTTAGACCATCATAGATGAATTTTAAACATTTGAAATTTGTATCATGCATTTTAATGAATTTGTAATCATTTTGAATTATAATTGCGCAACAATGAATTCGTTGCATAGAATTACAGCACTGGATGTTTTTAAATATTTATTCGGTAGGAAATTATTTTTCCTACCTTCTTCAAATATTTGTAAAATGTGCTAAAAGTACTCTAATATGCAAAGTTATTTCTTTGGCTAGTTACTGTAATATAATTAAAGCAGTTAAAGTCTGCAGCTAGTAAAATTAGCACCTAATAACATGATTTTCCATTAATTTTGGAAATTGTAAAGCAAAATGGGGTCTGGCTTTCTAAATTTTTTATTTAATCTTTGAATTCCATACTGATCATCAAATGAATTGAAACTTTTTAAACTTCTGAGCAGGTATATGACCTTAATTTTATATATAGTGCACCTGTGTTTTGTTTAGAATCCTTCTAATATATTTACATTCAAATATGGATGGAAGCTTAATCAGATTTCATAAAAACAAGAGCACCGATGTATTCCCGAAGTGTTCGGAACCGAATTAATCGAGAAATTAAACACATTAAAAAAGTGGTATTTAGCTCCAAAGAAACATTTTCCGCTCTGTTTTTCAATAACTAAAACACGATCAATAAATTCAAATGCTTTTATTATAAATATTTTTTAATTCACTTTTTTCGTAATTTATTTCCATACTCCAAAAATTGCAGTATTCATGTCTGGTCATTTTTCTTCTCTGGCCTTTTTTCTTCACTTATTTATTTGTAGCAACAAATTGCGTTGGTTATTGTTCAGCGAACTGTAAGGTTTTGTTCAACATAAGAATCAACTTCCATACTATGATCTGACACGTTTTCACCCATTCCAATAACTTTTTTAGTTGTTCAGCTGTTAATTTAAAGCAGTTAAATTTATTCGTCATTGTCTAAATTGTTTCCCCGTTTCTTGTAAATTACGTAATATCTTAATTTATGTTAATAAGCGTTTAATTATCTGGATCATTAGTGTTCGAGTTGCAATCAATTACTTTCACGGAACCCAACTCGCTTAATTCAAATAACTGTCCAGTTTCCAGTATGTTAGTCTTTACTTTAGTAAAATGAGATTCAAAACCGATGAAAACATTTATGCAATGTTGGTATGATAATGTTTCCATGCTGTCTTGATATTACTTGCCGTTAATTCATGTGACGCTTCGCTACATTTTCAGTAACGTTTGTCATATTGTATCTCTTTCCATTTATGTAAGAATTCCATTTAAGTAAGAACATTTCCTTCTGTTGTAGATTTATAACATGTGGGAAATAATTCTGTGAACTTACTTTTAGAAATTATTTTCATTTTGCTCGATTAAAATCCAGATTCTTTTGAAATTTTCAAACCGCATTTTTAGAATCTAGGCCAACCGAAGCCGGAGTATGCGTGTAATGCTCTATGTTATTCCTTTGCATCTGTATGCATATGTATAACAATGGTCTGGACTCAAAAGTATGTGAAGTCTCAGTTTTATTTAATACTGTTCACATTTCAGAGGATATATAAATTTACAGTTTATTTTAGAAAGACACAAATACACATGTCCCTCATACCTAGTAATCGCTCTGAAAAACTGGTCGTTGTTATTTACGGAACTTAATGAAATTCGTCGTATTATATTGTAGGAAAGTATATTTTCTGGATTTTATATTTTGTATTCGTGAAGACCTTTAAAACGAAAAAAAACGAATTTTAAAATTACAGAAACCGGGCCCCCCCCCCCCCCCCCACCCCCCCCCCCAACCAAAGTGTCTTGTTTAGCCAACCAAAGTGTTTGCGCTCCAATTGGGTATAACCTTTTTATGTATTCCATTGTTGGCACAAAAATGTATCTGGCGAAAAAACCTTGAAGAGGATATTGTTTTATTCGGTTGTCAATAGTTTCTTTTATTATTCAAAATATTACATGCGATAATCTTGTAGTAATCCATTACCCAAAGTAATACTACACACAAAAAAAAAAAAAAAAAAAAAAAAAAGGTGAGGATCGAGACTAATTAGCACCTCTAATGCTAAAAATTTGTTACGGTAATTACAATGTGTTGAATGTTTCTGTAGAATTAATGAATAAAAATCGTAACTATATTTATTTACAATAGCAGGGCCTGATGGAAAATATATTGTATTCGCAAAATATTTTCTAGAAAATTTTATACTTTTAGAAATGTATTGCTTTTATTCATTGATTCTTGGCTAAATAAAATTACTTTATGATAGTTATTTGTTTATTGCAAAAAGCAGTCCTTGCAAGATTACGTGATCGTATCTACAACAAATGAGTAACTCACAAGGTGGCAGAAAAGAAAAACGTTCACCTTGAAAAGTGTCACCGCTAAAGAGCACACGAATCCCAAGAAAAACCATGATTAGCATGTGATATCGCTATCTGGCAAGTTGTACTCTCATTACTCTAATTTGTTGCAAATGAAAGCTTCCCATTAAGAAAGTGTTTAAAAAAATTTCAATCTGTAAATATTCTATCTATGCAAGTTATGCGTTCTGTTCCTCATTTCGGCTTACAACTGATGTACGTTCCTTTTCCGAAACATGCTGAGGTAAAAAATGAGGATGAGAAGTATAGGAAAAATAAATAAATAAACAAACATAAAGTCAACAAAAATAGGAAGAACGGAGAAAATGAGATTAAGGGAGGGAAAAAAGTCAGCTTAGGAGAATGTATTAAAAGTACAGCAGCAAATCTTACTGAGAAAATGACATCAGATAACCATTCATGAAAAACATTTCGCACTGTTTATGTCTCAGGCTTATGTTTCTTTTTCTAATGAAGGGCTTTAATCTATCGTTTCTCTGAAAATTTCTTACAGTTGCTATAAGCCTTAATTTAACTTTCATTTCAGATGCCAAGCCTTCAGGGAAATTTCTTTAAAATGTTTGGAGAGTTAAATTGCGTTACGTTGTACTGCTAACTACTTATGATCCGTTTTACTTCCTTATACGAAGTTAAAAGAAGTATTGTAATCACAAAAAAAATTCTGGTATCATATTTAAACAGAAATATTTATTTTGACCGTTTCTGAACTCATTCGGACGATTTTTTATGCATGTGACGTCTGTACATAAGGACAGAATACTTAAGGACTCTTTTTTCCAAAACGTATTCTAAAACGGATTTAAAATGCATTTAAAAGGGATGTTTTTCGTGACGTCTGTACATATGTACACCGCATAACTCCTAAACTGTGAGTTATAGAAAGCTGAAATTTTGTATATAGGACTGTTATAACTGCTATAACATCTAGCTGTGCCGCATGCTTTTTTATTGTAATTGGCAGTACCAAACGTTTATATATACACCTACTCCTTTACTCGGACTTTATTTTCGCAGTCGTTGGTCGTAGTTATATATTTGCAATCACAGAGATGTGTTTTAAATGCAAAATTGACCGGGATTTCAAAATTTGCAATTTTTGATGTAATATTCCTCTTGCCTTGAAAAATCGGTTAATTAAGTTAGAATAATTGGAGGAAACAAGTTCAATGAAGTGTAGGAAAAATACAGAAGTATTCTAAATAACGAACATTGCTATATTTAAAAATAATTAATTTTGGACAAATAATGAAATCTTTACTTACATTTAGAAAATTTTAATACTCGTTATGAAAAAATTTACAAGAAATTTACAAGTTACAAGAAATTTGTCTCCCGTGTATTTAATTTAAAAATTTGCCATTTTTATGTCGTTTTCAGCTTGCCGTGAAGTATCGGTTTAGTAAGTTAGGATAATTCGAGGAAATAAGTTTAAATGAAGTGCATCCACAAATGTGTGTTATATAATAGGCCATACAAGGAAATCATGTGATATCCACATCAGATATTTTTACCAAGTATTGCCGCTGCAACAACATTCAGTAGCCTTACATCGAAAACAGAAAGTTTGCAAACAAATGACCTGATCATCGACGTCGGATTTTATTTACTTTAATGACTTATCAATATTTACTATTTTGTTTTAAAAATACAATATTTTATTTTAAAAATTTCTCAAATTCACTTCACTATAACTATATGCTGGTCCATAAATTGAGCGTCTTGTCGCTGTGAAACTGTAAAACAGTCTCGGTAGGCTTCATTTCCATTTGAATTTAAAAATATGTTTAAATTTCCTTTAGTGACCCGTATTGGGCTTCATTTTAGTGACCCGTCTTGACCCGTATTGGGCTTCATT